GCAATTGCCAAGAAGCAGAAGCAACTCCAATGCCCATCTGCAGATAAATGGATTTTAAAAAGCAGTGTGTCTATGCAGAATGGAATATTAATAATCATTCTTTAAAGGAAGGAAATGTCATATCCTACAACACGATGAACCCTGAGGACATATATTAACTAAATCGGCCTGTCACAAGACAAATGCTGCATGACTCCACTGATATGAGATGTGTAGTCGTCAAATTCACAGAAACAGAAAGTAGAATGGAGGTCACCAGGGTCTCACTGGGAAGTGGAGGGCCAGGGCGGGGAAGTCAGGAGTTGTTATTCAGTGGGTATAGAGTTTCAGTTTTGCAAGATGAAAAATTCTAGAATCTGTTGTACCACTGTACACTTAAAAATGGTTAAGATGTTCAACTTTGTGTTGTGTGCTTTCTTTTCTAAATAAGACAGATAAATAGATGCATGAATGGAAGGAAGGATGGAGAGAGAGAGACAGACAGATAATAAATGGGTAGATATGTAGACATATAGCTAGATGACATGTAGATCACAAGTAACAAAATACACACCATAGGCCATCCCATCTCCTCAGCATTCTATTTCCTGTAACCTGGATTTTCCCCAAATTATGTTCCTATTTTTCACATTTTCTTCATTTATTTGTTGTTTGGTTGGTTGATTAATCATTGGTTTGGGTCTATCCCTCTCTCTAAAATCAGACTTCACTGAGCCCACGATTTTTTTTTTTTTTTGAGACAGAGTCTTACTGTGTTGCCCGGGCTACAGTGCCATGGCATCAGCCTAGCTCACAGCAACCTCAAACTCCTGTGAGCCCACGATTTTTAAATGCTTTTCATGGATGGGACCCTGTCAACTACAGTGCTTGTCTCTTGGTAGGTGCTCAATAATTTTTCCTGGCCAAATTAATGAATAAAAGGATGTGTGTCACTCTGCTGCTCAGAATCTTCTACAGGAAGTGAAATGAGGAGGGAAGAGCATTTCAGGATGGAGGAACAGCCCATGCAAAGATGCAGAGGTGCAAATCACCTGGTTGTGGATGACAATAGTGCAAAGCCCAGAGTGGGTGGCGCTCGGAGCAGGAGGCAGGAAGTGGTGGAGGGCAGGGCTGGGACAAGGTGAAGAAGTGTGGTACTCACCAGAGTCCAAAGTGAAAAGGCAGCCAAAAAATCTCAGGATTGAGATGAATAATATTTCAATGCAACATTTTAAAAAATAAAATTAACGCTAAATATCCATGGAGAACAAAAGCTTAAATAAACCCAGATTAGTGAGTGTGCCTTCCTGAGCCAATTGAAGGCTGAGGTAAAAGGAAAACATTGGCCCTGTTCAA